GGTGTAACACCCATAGGTATGACAGTGAGCAGAGTCAGAAACTAGGCGTCGTCCATTCCGCAGCAAAACGAAAATAAGCGTTGTCGCGGGAGTATTAAAAAGGCATTGTCGGTGAGATTAGCTGATTCGAACGGTATCGCACTCCAGAAGATTTGACTCGATACGACTGAAAAGACCACACCGCACGAATGAATGGTTACGGTTACTCAACTCATAGCAATTCGGCTCTGAACAAAAAGAAAATCTCGGAACGGTAGTCGAATAGGAATTCTGTAATAACCTCGTATAAGCTGAACAACTCTAAAGATGTGTTGATCAAGTGCCACGTCTTGGAGAATTCTCGTTGAAAACAACCTCTCAGACATTTTCCAACTCGCAATGATGAGAGTGGTCCTGATTGCAGAATAGCGATCCAGATATTCACCTCTCGACATAGCTAGTTTTATAGAAAAGGACTACTTCGCGAAAACCGAACGTCCACCTAAGCGACTAAGAACTGAATTAAGCCAGTCTCTCAATGTTCCCAAACAAGTCGGCACCAACTTGCCGACATCGAAGACCAATGGTTAGCGAGACAGACCAACGGCCACTTCTGCACTGCAATACACCCCTAATCACTGCGCTAAACGAACTCTATAACGGAACAGCAACGAGAAAATACGACTTGAGACTACTAAATTTAGAGTTGTCTAAGCCCGTGTAAGAATGCTAAAGCAGTTTATAAACTGCAAAATTGACAAATACCTTGTTGCACGCGATGAATGTTGAAGAAAAAACGGTTTTCCCTTGCAGATGTTCCGATATCACTTCATGCGAAAACATAAAAGCCCTAAATCTCTCGGCGTTGATCAATCCCTGAGGGATGTGCAATGCATTCGACTTCATTAAGCATCGTTTGGAGATGATTTAACGCATATCCGGCCCTTACAATGACTTACGGTGGTCTGCCGATGTATCGAGCCAGTGTTGCTATCCTCCCAGACAAGTCGTACCAATTTGCCGACTGCGGAGATGGAAGGCTTGGCGGGCCATGGACGCGAGGATCGATGTGTTGTGTACATGTGTGTTGCAGGGCGCCTCCGACCACTGAGCCACATGCACCCTTACCAGAATATAAGACAAAAATGATACAGGTAAATGTGAATAAGAATAAGTGACAATTCTACCATATGGATTATGACACAAAAAACTGCAGCAAGTAGTCCTCGATGACTAGTGGAATCACTAAATAATTGCAAATATATCTCTTCTACACGCCTTCGCCCCGAAAGAACTTCGGTGGCTACCCAGGAAACAGCATTCTGTGCAAACGATTGCCCGTGCTTGGGAGCTAGAAACGCCCTGACACGGCTGATTGCCCGTGGCGACTAAATGTGGAACGCCATGGTAAGCCTATTTGGGGATTCTTGGGAAAGCCACACTAGGTGAGTATTCAATAAGAACGAAAATGACGGACTCTCACATCAAAGCCGAATCCACATATGAACTCAACCACCTCATCGATGTCGGTTACAAGACAATGAAACGATTGGAATCAGGTCATTTCTTAGGGAACTCGTCATGAGCATACAAGAAACTGAAGGCGTCAAGTTGTTCCAGGGTAATCCTCAACATCTACCTTTCTAAGGCCACTACGGATACAGGGATCCTACCCAATACAACAAAAAAGCAGGTGGAAAACATTCCCGGCTAGCGGATGGGGAACAGGGTAGTCACTGAAATAGACGCTTATTGCTCCAAAAAACGTCCAATCAATATGATAAATATCCATAATTTTCACAAATTCGTTATTGATTAAATTTTAATTATGATTAATTTTTCCCTCCCAACGGTTTACTACCTCATCGTGGCTGGGAGGTGTTCCTGGGTGTCGGACTGCGATCTACAGCAGGGAGATTCATCCCTCTGGCAAGGTCTTCCAAGCTGAGAAGGAGTCCCGCGTTTCCATTAGGAGGCCTAGCTAAGGGTAAACCAATGCTAGGATCCACCACCGTCCTGGTATCAAAGTTGCATGGTGGCAAATCTCCCTATGATCCACAAGAGCTGCGACTGCCTGTGGTGGTGAAGACCTGGGTCAGACTTTGGCCAGGCTGTCCTTAGGATTCCAGAGAACCACAATGGCTTAACCAGCAAATCTCCGTAAAATGATTATGCTGGGGCCCGTACAACCAATGAGGACGGGACATTCAAGTATCAAGTAAACTTTCACAAAAATTCTACAAGAAACTTCGCAAGTACACACAATGAGTTCAAGTCCTCTTATGACCAGAGTAATGACAAGAATGACGTTGAGAAATAAGAAAAATAATAGTAACGTTTGTAAAAGAAAACACGGCTATAAGAAATAGCACCACATCAAGCCATCTTAGAACCTTAGCGTAGTATTTATTCTCTTTTGTACTGATTCCTAAGAGTCTGTCCTTACCATCAAAATACACAAAACTTAAAAAATACGACTAACAAACTCCTTAAAACCGTCAGACAATGCGAACGGAAGCCACCCCCATACAAACTGTCGCGCGCGGTGGTCGCGCGCGAACATCGCTAGCGGCGACGCTGAATTTAAAAAGCGTCGCTAGGTTTCTGAAGGGGTGCTTTCTTTTAGAAGACTGAGTTGTAAGAGGATTAAAATTTGTCATAATAATACTTGAAATTTCTGTATAGAAACTGTAGTGGTTAGCAGTGCTAGTCATTGGACTAATTTTTCATGTCTTTATTTTGTTACGCTTCAACTTTTTCGTGCATTCTGATCTTTTTCTTTTTTTCCTCTTTCCTTCCTTTTTTTTCCTCTTTTTTAAATCCCTTTCTAGGTTACTTTTTTCCTCTAGGAGTTCTGAATTACCCGTATGCAATTTCAATCTGCCAAAGCACTTCATGTTTCATTTCTCATGCCTTTTTCAGTTGTGTTTACCTTATTTAGTCGATAAGAACTTAAGAACTGTACTAGTTGGACATGGTAATTTGACACTTTAAGAAATCATTCGTGATTTTTCAGGCATTCTATTTGTTGTTCACTTTTACTTGTCAGGATCGAGAATACTTTTCAGCTTTACTGAAGCAAGTACAACTCATGTGATGCATTGAATCTTCTTTGCCTTACTAGGGAACTCCTGTGAGCCTGCTTTGTATTTATCCCGGATTGAAACATTTCTCGAAGATAGCCATGGCTTCGTTTATGAAGATGTTCAAAAATAAAAAGGGATCGAACAAAGAGAATTTACCGAATATGGTGAGTATAATCATTAGTTACTTATTTGTATTTCTATCTTTGTATATCTCTAGTGTTCTATCATCGGGTGTGCTACTTTTATATAGCTTTTAAAGCTTTTTAGCTTTTGCCATTATTCCATAATCTTTTGTCCTTCTACCTTTATCCTTTTAAATAAGGAGTTTTTATCCTTTTGCACTATTCATTGTTCCATAGTACCTTTGTTCCATAGTTTGGGTACATTCCTTACTTTCAAGCCGATGTTACTGCTTAATTCTTGTTAGTGTTTTATTATGCTAAGTATTATGGATTTTATTCCTGTGGAATTTAAGATTCTTTAATATACCGATATTTGTCTAGAAATCCTCCTTCAGAATCGTAGCACCACGGAACGATCCTCCTCAACCACAAATCCTGACTTTGTAACCAAACGAAACGATGCTAGTATTTATGCAGGAGAGTCAAGGCGTTCTAGGGAAATCCATATTCCTAACCCATATTCTGTAGTGACTGCACCTAAAAAAACCAGAGGTATCACTTTGAAAATGTATTTCGCAGTTTCTCAGTGCTGTTTGTTTCTGTAGTTGTTTTTGTAGTCATCTTGCTATAGCTTTATGTTGGTACCTTATGGGTTCTAGTGGTAATAGGTTTTCGTAACGCTGTTTTCTAGGTCCTCGGTCATGTCCTGGTGCTCCTATGGATGACCGAAGTTTCCGGAATAATTCTTATCGGGGGAAGCCATTAAATGATCGATATTCTTCGATAAATACTTCAATGCGTTATGAGAACATTGGCAGAGTCCGGAATGAGTATGTGTTTTAATAACCTCTACTAGTGTACTCTGCGCTTTATTTTCGTTGTTCAGTATTCATCGCCATGAGAGTATCATCGAATATAGTAGCGAAAGTGCGAACTCTAGCCATGACAGTCCTCCTGACGTCCAACACAGAAAAGAGGTAGACAGATCTTGTCTTGTCTCTTGATCCATATTCTAAGAAACGACTTTTAGCGCTATGGTTCTTTTTGCTTACTTTTTTATCGACTACAAAGTGGAAAGAGGAAACAACTAGCTCGAAATCTTACGTCTTTCACCCTCCCCACTGTATTAGATTAGTGTCTTTGACTGTTTAACTTTAGAAGATGATACCTGAAAACCAGCGGTACTACACAAACACTTTAAATGATTCCACGGACGATGATGATGGTGCTAACATGAAAATTGTAGGTATTGTTCAAGATTTATGCATTTAAAAAATTGCATATTTTCACTTATATTTCATTTTTTACTTATTTCCTATATGTATTTGCAAAACCTCAGAAACATTTGTACAGCTTCAACTAGAGGCGAAACTGAAAAGGGCCAGGGAAGTGATACGTTGCACTAGAAGAGATATGTCGGAGAGAATAGAGGAGTTGCAAGATGAAGTAGAGCGGAAGAGGTATCGTAATCCACTACTTTCTAATACCCCTAACATCTTTTTCCGACTTTTGTCCCATATGATAAACAGCCTATCGACAATATATGTCCCAATTCGTTGTAGGCAAGATTATGACACGCTTAAGTGGCACTATAAACAAGCTCGAAAAGCATTCGAAGATGAGCGCAAGGTAAATGCACGTCAAGCGAAGAAGTTGCACCATGCTCTTGAGGAAGTGGTACTTTTTTATTTTTTATTGTTTATGGTCGGTTGCAATGTGACTGTCTTTTTTTGACTTTGAGCATAGTGCTAGGTTCGCTTGTCATAGTACTGGGCTGTTTTATGGTAGTTGTTTTCAGTCGCGTTTGAAGGCGATGCTGACAGAGCATTCCAATGACAGTTCGTTTTTGATCCCATATTGTGGTGGTCTTCCGCCAATGTGCTATGACTCCGGGGCTGGAGAAGCATTATGTTCTTTAACGGAAGCTCAACCTGATGGCATAAATGATCGCCTATGTTCCATAAATGAAATCCATGAGGACAATATAAGCGAAGGGTTATCGTCGCAAACAGAGCACACCACAACTCGTGAGAGTACTGCTGAGCAACCTCTAAACAATGAACACCAAGATGACATGCAAGACGAGGTTGGTTTTTTTTTAAGGTCAGGATTTTCTACGCATCTTGATTTCGTTTCAAGTATTTCGTCCTTGCATGTTTTTTCCTTAGTTGCTTTTCCAATAGATTTAAAACCACATACACGTGTAGTAACTACAATTATTTGTTTGCCACGAGTTGACCTTACATGTCTGTTACCGTTACGGATAACAGTAGTGTCAGTTTTTATAGAGGGTTCCACTTAGGTTCGCGTTTTTCGAACTGCTGAATGTGATACTCCACCTCCTGAAAGGCCCAGAGCGACCGGAAGTCCAGTTGAGATGCTCTCTTCCTATGTTCCGGATTTCACCATCAGCAATGATTTTGTTCCGCAAAGGTGAGTACGTGATAATATGCGTAGATTATTTTTAATAGTAATCTACAATTTCATTTTTTCGACAGTTTTATAGATCGTTCTCTGATACCGATATTCGCACTTTAATACTTCAAGAGGTAGGGAAAGGTGAAACAACGAAAGAGAAGCTACCAGTACAAGGAGAGCTCCCTCCACGTCGACGAGCACTAAGGAAGGATTTCGATTATTACGTTAGGGTAAGTTTTTGACTATGCGTCGTTTTCGTGCTTTAAATATCTGTGGACGTAGTATACATAGCAATTTAGTGAATATTTTTGTAGTCATTCTATGCCAAAACAAAGATTTTCGAGTTAGCGATCAACTGGATTGAATAATAAAATTTTCTGTGCTCATATTTCTAGGGTAAATGCTAGCTACCTATAAATTAAACGTTTGCCTGAAAAATTCAGGGATACAATGAGAAAATGGACGAAGATGGATCGGTTAGCTCGTCTGACGACGAAACTTACCGCATACTAGAAAGACAATTAAAGAAGAAAGGAGAGGTAGTTAGATTTCAGCCGCCTAGAGTGACCGTTCACCCAAGACATTATAAAAGGTCAATTCTACATTCTCTTTTTTCGTTCCAAACTTGAGGATGTAACATTAGTTAATTCGAACTGGACACAGTTTACTCTTAGATTTGGTAAGATGGAACGTTGTGCACTGGCAGAATTCGACTATCTCCAGGATATATCGACGGACGTGAGTGCTCTACAGTCAAGCCCCGAGGGTCATCACAATGTAGCAATCTGAAGTTGTGGAGATCATTGAAATACTCTATTTGATATTAAATGTCCTCGAACGCTTCGACTTCAGTTTATTCCAACATTTAATTGTTTGTAGTGGAATTTATTAGGTGTACCTGCGTTATCTTCTACCAAAAAGTTTTGTACATCTGGGAACTCCTTGCTACCTACTCTGCTTACTCTACACGTCTTTATTTTTGAATACTCTCATTTTATTATATATCGCTGTGTCTACTTACTAAAGCAGGGTTCTCTCGTATAATATTGTTGAACTTTCTCTTCACTTAATAATAATTGTGAACGTATAACGCTCACGGATCCACATTTTTTTAAGGTCCGGCATATTCTCACTGTTAATCTTCTTATTAACCTTGCCTCTACATTTAATGTTTTCATTATCAACATTTGTATGATATCACACTCCACATATTGAATAAATGTTATTGGCTACAGACTGAGATGACTAGCAGGAACAGGTTGAAACGAACACTTAGCTATTTGGCAGTACGTGTAGTACGCTTTGAGAATATTTCAGATCAAGTAGGTTTCTCTTCAAAACTCTCAAGGACTTGATTATTAGAGTATGGAAGTTGACGAGACGTTAGTGAATGGTGTTACCGAGTCGAATGACGATGGCGGTGATAAAATGGAAGAAAGCGATAGTTACGATTCCGACGAAGAAAGAAGTGATTTTTACCGTAAACATCCTTGTGCACGCAATGAACGTATGTTCGTTGAGAATTTTCTTTTTCGGAAATCATCAGTGTTTCCTTTAAGTATGAACTTTTGCCAACTTTTGCAGCTTACCCGTCTACTAGTCGAGAGTTCATTAGAGAAGAAGATTGTTTCGATCCCGAAGAATACGTGGAAGTTAGCACATCGGTTCGTAAAATATCCTCATACGACTTCAAAAGATTATGGATTTTAAAGTGTCATACATGTCTACTTTAAGAAAAGCCCCAGAACTCCTTTCATTCCTCCATCTCAAAGAGAAGACGCTCCGCTCGCCTCTATATTAAATCCGCAACTGGACAAAGTTGATCCGAGGTTATACTCACTTTCGTTCTAGTATTACAGAAGGCGTGTCGAGTTTCCTCTTAGGTTTCTGTTGTAGGCGGTTTTTTACCGATTACGAATTGAATTCCGTTGTGCGGTTCTCTCGGATTTTCGCAGCTAACATCAAATCGTCCTCTAAGGCAGAAATTTGGTGGCCATCGAAAACTTACCACAAAAGGATTGCCAGTGAGGTTTGAAAGTAACGTATTCTTGTGTTTATATGGTTTCCATTCATTTCCTGATATCCTGTTGCACTATTTAACCAACTAAGATTCTGTGAAGAGATTATTTGTTAATTTGTTTTGCTTGCAGAAAATGCCAAAACCAGAGAAGAAGAAGTTGACGTTGACCTTTGCAACAGCTCCACCCCCTGAATTCTTAGCTCCTGACGAAGAGGTGCACTTTGATTAGCATTTGGAGCTCTTTTCATTTGATTCGGCCTGAAAACCGTATAGTTATGTTATGTTCTAGGCTTTAATGATTGCATCGAAATCAAAATCTAAGCCGCATGCAAACACCTTCAATTCTCATGATGGACAAACAGATGAGGTCATTGCACCATGGCGAGATGGTCCGGCTAAAATATGGTAGGATTTTCACCAATTCTGCGCCGATGCACTGGTATCTTTTACATTATTTGTACGTTAAGCTTAAAAATCTTTACTTCTTCGGTTTGTATCTGAATTTGACTTCTTTCGTGTTTTTTATGTGAACCAACTTTCTTAAACCACCTTGTTCCTTTATCCCTTCTACGATCTATTGGTGTTGGTCTAAAAGTGCTCCGAACTGCTATAAAATTGTGTAGTTTGCTTTGTTTTTTATACATTTATTTCATGTTTCGAAATGTATCAAAGTCAGTTGAAGGTATGACCGGGCAGGGGTGCCGGCAACAGCTTCAACGTTTGATTATGGCCTTGTTAGACGAAAAAAGGTGTGCTCTTATATATCTTGCTTTTTCCATTGGTTTGCAAAGTCTTCATTGATAAGTGAAGTATCACAGTTCGCAAGATCTATTAAAGCGATTAACACATTAACGACGACGTGCATACCAAGTGATGGGTTAGGGATGGGACATTGACTGGTATGAGGTTACCCATTTTCTTTCCGGTTATTTGCTTTCGGACGCAAAAGCTTTTTGTCACATTTCCTTAACCAATGAATAGCTTGTCCAAAACAAATATTATACAGGCTATCAGCCCAGAAATGCTGTCTGCACATAATAACTTAAGAAAGAAATTAAAAAATTTGTGGTACAAGCTTGTTCGTTCACGTGAAGGGATTTTAGTGGTGAAGTATATCACGAGCTTGTTTCCATTGAGGAAGGTTCAAAGATGTCTCTGCTACGCTTGAACACTTGGTTTGAAACGTTCGGAAGCAAACCTTTTCGCTGCAATAAGAGACGGCAGATCTTTGAAGAGATTTGCATAGATGTAATTACAGTGTAGATATACCTCAGAGTGGCCGGATGTTCGCAAAGTTTGCGTTCATCAATGTGATTCCTCACACATTATCAATTCCGTTTTTATTTTTATTTATTAACTATCGACTTTCTATCATTTCAATTATCAACTTTTTTACCGCTCGCTTTGCTGATTTTTTGAACGTTGTGCCCAAATATAATTATTTTACATATTTTTGAAACCGGCCGTCATTTAACCTTAGCATTAATAATCAATACTTTATTGGACTAGTAAGCTAACGCAAGGTTGATAAAAGTTTTATTCGGCTAACGTCTTCGGCTTCCTCAGAGCCCAACTATTCGAGTCGATGGTCCACAGTCGTTCGTCATTTCGATGAGGCGTCTTAGTCTTCGTATCGAGCCGAATCTTCTTCAGTGGTATTGCTTTGGAAGTATTGCTGGAATCAAAAACATCGAAACGTTAGCCGAATAAAACTTTTTACCAGCCTCGTCTTAGCTTAGTAATCCAAGAAAGTATTTATTTTACAACCTGTTTCTCCTGAGTTGTAGAGAATAGAACGCCATCTGATCGCTCTTATTCTTGAACAGTTTTGTCCGAGTGCAACATTCGAGAGGTTTACAGTTTGATAGAGCTTATGAATGGGACGCGTTGTGTTATGGACATAGTAATATTGTTCTTTTCACTCGTATATTTCTGTTCTTGGGAAGTCCTTTGTTATGCAAGTGCCAATTTGATGGATCCTTTTCTTTGGGCTAACTTCTTAGTGAAGAGACACTTGTGTAGAAAATATCGGTGTATCGATACATTAATTCACCCAATAAACCGAACATAGGCTTAATCACTTCCGACTTATCCAAATCTTTTGTTCCGTAGGAGTTTTTACCTACATACCGGAAGCTAAGCATAGTCCATTGTCTTAAGCGTATAAAGCACATTTCTTGACAGGTTACTATCTCTCATTTCGTTCCCAGTGGCTATAAATGTTAGTCATCGTTACTGTATGGAATGGACGGATATTTTTTCAAAAAATTTAAATCTACTCCTTATAAGTTGCAAAATGAAATATCCTTATAAGTTGCAAAATGAAATAATAAAAGCTGATAGCATCGTGTTTGAATGGAAAACTAGATTTGGGAGTTTACTGTCTTTGGAGAGTTCGAAGTTAGAAATGTTCAGAAGAAAAAAGGAATTGCACACAAGAGATTATAGAGAATAAGTGTGGTATGGGAAACCTAGAAATTGTAATCTAAACATGTAGACAAAGCAAATAATTGGAAAGGACAATGAAAGAAGGTGGTTCATCTTTTATCGGGATACTGTGATCCGTATGTGGTAATTTCAACTCGTAGCGTGAGAAATGCAAAATTGGACGTCGTCGAGAGTGTGTTGTTGTGGAAACCTTCTTATTAGTTCTGTCTAGGAACCTGACACTGAGTACGAGACGGAGGAAAAGTTGCAACCTTCGGAGCTTATAGAGTGGGAGGACGAGATTATCATAGAGAGTGATGATTTCCGGGAAGAGGTTTCTGTCTATTTCTGCGACTTTTGATTGTTCCTATAATTATTGAATTTTTTTTACTCTAATTATGGTTATACTGAAGAAGAGAAGGTTCTTTTTTGTAAGGTTTTGGATGACCTTAAGTGTGGTGAACCAGCCTGTGGTTGGGTTCCGACGCAGTATACCAGAACGTACGAACAGTTTATGTTAGCTGGTGAGAACAACTATGATAAGCATTTTCTCTCTCTTTTTCTTAAGAACAGAAACTTGTTTCTCTGAAAGCTGGTTATTTTTTGTTTTGAAGTTCAGTTGCTTTGCCACTATGATAATGGGATATGTTTTATAATGCTCTACCATTATTGTTTTGAAATGTAGTGTATAATGCGTTTATTTCAGTAAAAAACGATGCACTTGACTTGATGTTCCAGCCGTTTCAGAAGGGAATCACACCTTCTCCCATAACCCTAGCGCCTCATAATGGTGAGTGTTTATCTATGTCTTGCAAAAATTCGTTATTATTTATTATTACTGAATACAAGGTATGGCAGTTAACACTATAGCTATTTTTTTGCGTCCAAAAACCTTTTGTTATCATGTTGTGGTAGGTCAAGTTATGATTTTTGAGTTTTCCAGTCAATTTCTACTGTGGTCGGTTGTTTCATTCATTTTTATCGGTATTTGTTCAGACATAATAACTGAACCAAGTGCTTCCCATTCATTGTTTCCCCACGATTTCGTCAGCTATCATGAAGAACGTTGGGAGGATGACGTGATACTCGATCGTAAACAAGTGGATAGGATAACCGGTACCTCTTTTGTCTTTTTAGTGCACACAAACTAATAGTTTTGATCTCTTGTTGACTGGTAGGTAACTTTTGTCTGCAGAACCAAGAGTGCTATCTCTGGATTATCTTGATGATCCGTTGGTGTACGGAATGCCGGATGACCGAAGATCTGATGATCCTACGGATTTGACCCCTAATAGACCATTTGATCGAAAGGTAATACTTTATTCTCAATTTATTCCGGCATTAACATGTTGTGCCATGTTTTATTTTGTTTTACTCAAACTAAGAACTCAAGGTAATGTTGCAGGAACATCAATTTACAAAGAAATCTAAGATGATTCTTGGCCAGGTACAGCAGAGGCAAAAGCAGGAGGAAGAAGAACAGGTATGTTTTTTAAAGTCCACACTAATGGTTGCAGATGAGGAATTAAGTAGAAATGTAGTCCGAATTTTATGAACTATTTAAAGTTTTAATCCCTGAAATAATGGCAGAATATAATGCCTTTATCGATGTTTATTTTAGATGGAAACATCAGTGGCTCAGATGACCGACAAAGATCCATTTAATCTCAGTAATGATGATTATTATCTACCTAAGGCCGTTAACAAGTGAGTTTCATCCAATTATCTGATGCCTATTCTAAGGATTCGCGTGGAATGATGTCATTTTAGATCTGGTCCTGCTGGTAACAGCATGTTGATTCAACACTCTATTCCTGCTCAAAATATTCATAGAACTTTCTTCCCAACATTTCTTATTCCGTCGAAATTGCGGCATTTTCACAGGTTTCTCGGCTTTTTACTTTCTGCTGGTTATAAACTCAACCGAACTTCCCATATAGGCAGCCACTTTCAAGACGCGTTGTACGACAATTCAACGGCAGATGGGTTGATGTTAAGAAGCTTACGAAGCATATTAAAATTAAAGAGGAAGTAGGTCATCTTACAATTATTTTCGCAGTGTTATTGATTGTTCTTTGCTTCCCGTCTTTTCTTCCTTTATCCATTCACTCATTTTGTCTTTTTGCCTTTTTTTGTCCTCAATATTTTTGTAGTGGTGATATCACTGCTGACTTTAGTGTAAAAATATTGTGTTGCATTTATCCACCTTTTTTAACGCATTGGGTATGAGGTGATTTGTTTTCAACCTCACGTCGTTTGCAGATTGTCCGGTATTAATTGAAATACGTTCATGCGCGCAAGGGTGCTTGTCCAACATAAATGTCGTAGTGGACATTAACACATTAGCAAGGGAAAGCTCTGTTCTGTACCTTGAAATACATGGAAAAGTTTTTTCGAACTAATTTCTTAACCACTAGTTTGCCTGGCAGGTTTTGCAACTTATGCTATGTTTGTTTCAATATTTCTTATGCTCATGCATTAATTCTTATTATTGGAATAACAACGGGTCAAACTACCGACTAGTGGACATGCTTGAGAAAAGTCTGTGTATATTTCTAGATGCAGAATAGAGGTTTCCCTGGCCGATGCTCGCCACAACATCTATGTTTGTAAAGCTATCGATTGATTACAAGAAGTATGGGAAAAGGATTCTCTGCGCGCCAAAGTAAACTATGGGAAAGGTAGCGGCTCATATAGAACTCAGCAGCTAATCGGGCACCGACCATGATTGTGCAGAATGCACATGTTTCGTAATTTGTGAATAAAGGGTATGTTAGTTTACTGAGAACTTTACCAATCGAAGTAGGTGCGATACAAACGTCGTTGTCAACACGGTAGAAGTGTTTCTACTCCACAGTCGTGAAATTTGACTTTTAGAACCTACCAAACAACTACAGGTATACTGGAATATTACCAAAGTGCGGAACCTCACTTGGGCTTCGAACTTGCAGTTACCCTTACAGAGGGTTACTTGCTACCCACCACACCAACCAGGGACCTTGCTTTGCCTTTCGTTCTGCCATGTGTTTACTGTGTCGACGCTGTCAGCAATAACCTATCAACAGGAATGATCTCGAGTGCACAAATTTCCAATGAACCCAATGAAACTGTTGCTGAAGTCAAACTTAAAATGTCTTAGCTTTTAATTTGTCATCTTCTCGTTTTTCATGGCAGGGTACGATGTGAAATTTCGATTTTCAGAACTCAGCATAGCCATAACCAGAGTACGGTTAGCGGGCTCAGAGCCGAGTTGAGACTCCAAATTTTGGTCGTATCATATCTCAGCATCCCTGTGGTTGTACTTAATATCGTACCCGGCCATGAAAAAAGAAAAGCAGTAAATAAAAAGTTAGCTTACCAAACATACTGTTTTTGACCTCCTTCTCATCGAAACTTATATTTCGAATAACGAATCTGCTAAAACAGTAGTACTTTATCCAGTAGAACGCATCATCACCCTGTGTTCGTTTGTGTTTCTATCTGCCATGCATGCGTCAAAAATTTTAGAAATTTAGACGCCTTTTTGAAGGTTCTGAAAATTTGAGTTTTAAACGAACTCTAAGTTAAAAATAACATTTGAGCAGTTCAATAAACTCATGGAGATGTAGGACAAATTTCAAAGAAATTATCAGTTACTCAATGTGAAGTGTCCAAGTGCGCTTTGATCTAAATTGTAACGTTTTACTCATTTTTTTGTTACTCTAACGCGGGCATATCTTCTACGATGTTTGTTACTTAAAGGGACCGTTCATTTTCGACGTAACTACTATTTTCCAGCTATATTTTAAGGAAATTGGTTTGTTGTTTGCAGAATAAACTTCGTTTCAGCAAAGAGAAAAACAACGTTGCGCAGAAGGTGGTGGAGATATATTCTTCATGCGTGATGTCGCTGATCTTAGTGGTCGTGATGGAGATTTGATATTGCTAGAATATTCAGAAGAACATCCGCCATTACTGTGTCAACCAGGCATGGCTTCGAAAATTAAGAACTACTACAAAAAGGTTAGCTTATGAGAAAATATTCTTCTGGAACTTCGCGTAGCAATTTCCATGACCGACTTTCTTTTAACCGCGGCATTGATTGATAATTCGATGTTTTTCTTCAATAAGCAGACACGAGGTTGTTATTATGTTTGTTATGTGCTTATTGAAGGAAAACATCGAATTATGAGAAAATATTAATGATAGGAAAAAGGCAGTAAATAAAAGAGTTAAGATTGTGATTATAACTAAGCCTCAGCTTAACTGGGTTCAATGCCGATATTGGCTCCCCAGATCAATCCCGTTGACGGGTGATTGCTGATGGCAAAAAGATCGATAGAACTAGCTGAGATACATGCAAAGCGAAGGACCCGGATGGTGTAGTGGCGAAGTGCGCTGCTCCCCGGTAAGGACAACAGCGCGTGTTCGTTTTCCACTGCATACACCTGTGGTCCGGAGTTTTGCAAATATCTCAGCATTTCATACGAGTTATAATTCGAAACATAACCTGCCATTAAGAAGAAAAAGGCAGTAAATAAAAGAGTTAAGATTAATGATAGGATCGATAATTTGCTGTTTTGACTCATGTTTGAGCTAGTAGCTGTAGTTCATTACTCCGTCACCTTTTTGTCTGATTTTTAGAAACCAGGTAAAGATGTCGATCCCGATTTTGAATATGGTGATATGGCATACTTGCACACCGTACCGTTTCTTGGTCAGTTACAGCCCGGACAGGCTATGCAGTCGATAGAGAATAACCTGTTCCGGTCAGATTTGAAATATTTGTTAATTTCTTTCCATGAAATTTGAAAAAAGGTTTCAGAGCACCTATATATCAGCATTCTCCTCAGTATACTGATTATCTTCTCATTCGGAATCGCAACGGGTTAGCTGTTCTTCTTCTTCTTTTGCTGTCTTCCTCATTTTTTTTCATTTGATTTACAGCTGGTTTATACGGCCATGTCCGCCGATTTTTCTTGTTGGACAGGAATGTCCTCTTTATGAGGTTCCGAGCCCAAATTCCAAAAGAGCTACAATATTTGTTCGAGACTTCCTTTTGGTCTGTTGTTTCCGTTCTAGTTATTGTTCTCATTCATGTTATAAAACAAATAGTTTAGGCTTTCATTTATCGGCTATTTTGGGCTAGTGAGCATCGACCACGAAGGTTAAAAATGGATGACATTAAAGCAGCATTTCCTCACTATGCTGAGAGTAGTGTTCGAAAGCGTTTGAAACAATGTTCAGATTTCAAACGCTTAGGAACTGGTCCAGATCAAAATTACTGGGTACGTTTATGGCGAAACTGCTGTGTGTATATTTATCCGAAGTTCTGTAGAAATTTAAATTTTTTCAGGTACTTCGACCAGAATTTCGTCTTCCAAGTAAGGAGGAAGTGCTAGCCATGGTCACTCCCGAAATGTGCTGCGCTCAATACAGCATGCTTGCCGCTGAACAACGGCTCAAGGTCGACCTGATCTTATTTTTCTGCTTTTTTCACATTCTCAGTCTTACTGGAATAAACTTTGTGTATATTTTCACACCTCTTTTCTGCCTAGTTTTTTTTACCGATTTCTCCCAAGACTATGTTCATATTAGGAACATTTTTCCGTTGTGAATTGTTTATTCTCATATTGTGTTCTACTGTATTTTTGTTTATCGTTGCACTTTTATATTTCTAGGACGCGGGTTATGGTGAGAAGTATTTCTTCACTCCAGAAAACGAGGATGATTCGGATGACCAAGTGACAATCGAAGATGAGGTTGCTATCAGGTGTTTACGGTTACAGTGTTTCTTGTTTAATCCGAGCATTGTTTTCTTAAAGATTAAATGTGCGCCTTGGAATACAACTCGTGCGTTTCTTTCGTCCATGCGAGGAAAATGTCTTCTAGATCAAACGGGAATAGCGGATCCTACTGGATGTGGACAAGGATTTAGTTACGTGCGTGTTTCACAGAAACCTCAAAAAGTAAGCAATTTTCCATCTTATTAGTTAGCTTCAGCTGTTGTTTGTTAACACAGGACGATACTCCCGCGATGCCAAAACGTCTTGTTACGGGTACCAATGCTGATCTCAGAAAACTTCCCCTTAAGGAGGCAAAGGAAATTTGTCGGGACTATGGAGTTCGTGAAGAAGAAGTACGCTTTTGCCTCAGAACATTGTAACTAGTTGCTATCTTTTTGCATGCTAGGGTTGTCTTTAGATAAACGCCCTTTCTCGCTGGGAAATCATAGATGTGATTCGAACGTTATCCACGCAAGCTGCGAAAGCGAAGGCCGATTCGTCAGGAGACCGTAAGTATTGTATACCCTAGATTATTTTGTTACCATGAATGCTTTATATGAAGGCTAGTTTGTCCCGAAAGTACGTGTTACGTTTCTAGGTGTGGTTTGCTAGAAGGTTGAGTAATACTGGTTTGAGTGTCTTTTTTCAAAGACTTGCGAGCTCAGTTCTCGTGTGTTTAGCTGGTAGTAAGAGAGTACATTTTGAAATAGAGTTTTCTAGGATTTATGTTCAAAAACAATTCTTCTTCAATACATTATCTACATGCTTGTTGGAATTTTTCATCAAGGAACACGCTCACAACGTAATTCTGATTACCTCCTCGGTATTCTAGTATTCAATGAAAGTTTTGTTATAGATGGAAACGTTTCTGGTATGGCACGCTTTGCACGAGGAAATATTCGTTTTAACTTTGCCGATATGCAGGAAAAGTATAAAAAGCACTGCCAACACATATTCGATCTTCAAAATCAGTTGGTGCTCTTGTATATCAGGAGTTTTTGGGATTACTTTGTCATGAAATGCATATTTATAGAACGTTAGCAAACCCTGAAGCATTATCAACGGACGAAGGGAGTTCAGGTGAAGATTCAGACAATGAGGAATTGGCAACCAGGCTTGAAACGATGTTGCAGGCAAATAAAGGTGCTTTTCAGTTTTCGTCCCGCAGTTACCGGGAAAAAAATGATTTTAATTACAGGGAAGAAACACATTTCCATGTCTGAGCGTGCTCGTATGGAATTTGAAAATGAGGAGAAAGAACGCCAAGATCTTAAAAGAATGGTTCATGGGGATATGGCTGGGAAAACAGAAAAGGATAAAAAAGAGGCCACAGCGGAGGAGAAGAAGAGTAATCCATTTAAATTCTTTTTTGCTGTTCACTTCCATTTCATGTTTTGTTTTGTTCTGTTTTTCTTCCTTTCTTTGTAATTGTTTCATATTCCGTGTTTAATCGTCAACTGTACTGTTTCCCTACTATAGATGTATCAAAAATCGGTGAGGATCTTGCTGCATCGGCCTCCAAAATTTCGGGTATCACTGCAAATCAAAAGCTGAAGATTTATCGAACTATGAAGAATCCAGACGGGACGGAATCCGTATGTTTTATTTTGAAATGGACTCAGCTTTGACTAGCGTTTTTTTTTGTTATTTACGTGTCAGCCTTCTTTCCTACATATCTTTCTCTCATTTTTTGAAACTGATACTGTAGACTCGAGTTGAAGTCGTTACACGGCCCCAGCTTATTGAAGCGTATACTCGGATTCGTATGACAAAGGATGAGAATTTCATTGAAGTGTATGCTCAGATGGATGAACAATTCAAAGAGGTACTAACGTTTGTAACCGTTAACGGTACTTATAAGGAATTTTTATCTGGTTTTGGTAATTGTTAATTGTAGTTATAACAAATTTGTAGGTTGTTTAGGAACGAAGGAAACAAAAGCGTCGCTTACAGGATCAGCTTCGACGAATTCGAAGAAACGAGGAGAAGGGTAAGACGGGACACCCACCACAGGTGTGTTTTTAAATTTTTCGCCTAAAATGCTCATAATTCCAGTTTTCACGTCGTTAAAGTTCGATTGTTTTGTGTTATGTTTCATAACTAAGTGGCTGCAATATTAGTCCATTGATTGCTAGCGGTTCCACATTATAGTTCTGCTGTGTTGAACTTATTCGCGATTGTAGCACCTTTGGTAGTTGGAATTTGGATTGCAGCTATTTTTTTTTACCGTGTGCGACATACATCTAGCTAAATTTTCCATATTGGGGCATATCTCAGTACTCTTCTCATGAGTAAATTTTCAATGTTACACCCATGCAACAAGCAAAAAGTCGCCGCCATACTTCTGCATTTGTATTTGTACAGCATCTTGGTATCATTCGCACTCGTCACTAAGAGTATGGTACTCTCATAATAAGCGAAGAATCGTCATGGGATTCACGAAGGCGAACATACTTGTCCCAACAACTGTTCCTGTAATGTGTAAAAAAAAGAGTTTTACGGACCATTCCAACTGCAGCTGTGATGGCAAAGCTGCTGATTTGGTTCTGAAGTCATCACTGAAAAAGTTTGTGCTGAGGAAGAAAGTTCAAGTGTCATTGTGAACCGACTTTCCTTTAATCTCGGTGTAAATGATCAGTATGCCACTTTGTTTTATTGATAAGCTAACTTATCTATCAGTCCAGCTAGTTAGCTTACCAATGAAGTAAAGTTCAAGTAGTTCGAAGTAACGTCGTCGTAGATCTTTCGATTCCGTGCCACACTCACGTAACAAGAGGCGGTAACTGAAGGTGAAAATTCTAAACGTTGCTCAGTCTTATAAATACCATTGTTTTACCAACTTTCGCACCTAGAAGATGCTCATGGGTGTCAAAATGTGTTATTTGTAGAGTATTCCGGGCTTACACTAGCAATATGATGATTAATTTAATACCATGTAGTCAACATGACAGTTATGCCATAAATGTTTGACTATTTACTTGCTGGTTACTATTTTTTCTTGAAGGTTGTTGTGTGAAACACAACCACAGTGATGCTGAGATATTCTCAGTAATTAACACGGGAGCACCGGAAAGGGTAATCTCGAGTTCGAAGCTGCCTTAGGGCTTTGAGCTTTGCAATATCTCGATATCCTTGTATTTATACCTTAGTTCGTGAGCTTTATGCTTTTCCATTTGTTTTCTCCTGTTTTGTTCATTGCTATTTTCATTCAGTGACATCCTGTTTCAGCGTGTTGTTGAGAAGAAACCTATTCCTATCAAGCCGAACTTGCAAAAGATGCGTTGCTCAGCTTGCCATGGCACTGGTCATATGAAAACAAATAAGAACTGTCCGTTGTACGGCAAGGATCCTTTGAAGACTGCTACTAAAGATGCTGGCGTGTGTTTGAATTTCTTCTTCTCGTTGATTGATTTTGCGAATCGTCATTTTACCAGTGTTTCCACCAGCATTTTGCATACTTTTAGTCTGGAACGTCGGATGGCGATGAGGATCCGTCATCGCTTACTGGTGAACTGGTGGCTGTTGAAGGCACAAAGGTGAAAATCAGTCGAAAAGTTATCAATAGTCACGAACAGTCAGGAAAGAGAAAAAAATCTAAGTGCGTTGATACGTCATTATAATCTCATCTCTTTTTCGAAGTGTAACTAACGTTGCACTTTCCTTCAGATCTTCACTGTCACGAAATTTGTCTGATGAATCTAATAAGAAGCGGGAAGACGACTTAGTTTGCTCTTCTGACGCGGGTGAGGGAACATCACCACCAATCTTGGTTAAACAGGAGCGTGAACAGGAGTTTGACAGCGATTTCGAGCAACCAGTGACACCCACAAGTCAGTTATTGATTTTTCGGATTGGAATGCTTACTTTTACAACTTATGTCTACCGTTTAAATACCACTTATTCGCAAATGACTACATTTTTTTTACACGCTCTAGACCCTTCTCCGCGGTAAATTTTGCGTTCTAAACGTAAAGTAGAATGAAGCAGAGCGTAATTAGTTAGTCATTTCAATAGCTAGAAATTGTCCTAATTTTACAAGGAAAAAAACATGATGCATGGCAACTGTTTGTTGCACTACAACTAATAGAACGTTTTTAACTCGATATTGATTGATGCACGCTGACAAGAATTGTTTATTCATTTATTGATTTCGGCATCGTTTTGTAGTTCGCCCGCGACTTAGCGCTGGCGCGGGTGTGTCATCTACAAAACGTCGTGTATCGACACTGCCTGAGGAAGACTATTTGCATGGACCACATAAAAGTGTGCAAAGAATACGTGCCGATCCGAAGGTAGGTTTCAAATGCTTATTGATATTTTTCTGTCGTTTTAAACATGTCAAACTGCGCACAATTGCTGGAGTTTTTTACAGGTTACAATGGGTACACTACTGACTGAAATAGTTACTGAATTGAAATCGATTCCAGGATCTGAGCATCTAATGTTTGCAGTAAATGCTAAAAAGGTTTGTCCGTTGCAAAATGGTGAAAAGATTTAAATGTGTTGTGCTGTTTTTTTAGATTGTTTCTGAATCATTGAAAATATTGCATTGTTTCGAATACCTCTCCTCCAGGTCAAAGACTATTACGATATCGTGAAGAATCCCATGGATTTACAGAAGATTAAGAGTAAAATCGCCGATAACAAATACGAATTACGACAGGAGTTTTTGCTGGTACGTCTTCTACTTTGTTTTGGCGAAGTTTTATTGCGCAATTTGAATAACTTGTTTGAATTTTGAGGACGTAAAACGAATGCTTGATAATTCTCGACTTTATAACGGTGACAATCACGTGATTACAGATGCGGCTAAGAAGGTGATTAAAGCACTTCTTTTTGAATGAGACTACTACTAATAGTTATTTAAAAGCTATTACGATGGATATTTTTTTCATATAATATTGGTTTTGTTATCTAAGATGTTCGAACTAGCTTCGAAGCGCTTAGTAGAAAAGGAGCAGCAACTAATGAAGTTGGAGAAGGCCATCAATCCTTTGCTAGACGATAACGATAGGGTAGGTTTTGATGGCCAGTTTGTTGTGTGCATGCCACGTTTTGAGCTAGTACTACGATCACTTGCGGTTTTTGCTATGGTTGCTAGTGGTAATATTTTCAGAATGAACAATTTAGAAACAAGCTTAGCTTAGGTTATTCTTCAATAACTGATTTGCTTCAGAAGCTATAAAATTGTGATATCTCTAACCTAGTGGAAAAACTGTTTGTTATAGGCTTTTCAACTTTCCGATCGTATTGTTATTGCAGGTTGGATTTGGTTTTGTGTTAGAAAAGATTGTCCAAGCGTGTAAGAATATCCCGAAATCAGTTCCATTTCATAATAGAGTGGATGCGAAAAAGGTAAAATTAAAGTTCATTGTTTAAATCGCTATCATAGAAAGTCTCACCGTTTTTTATTCAGTTCATAAATTAATTGAGATATTGAATTTAGTTCTTGTTCTATGTTGGGATGTTTTCTTTTAAGTTTTTTATTCCTCGTCTATTAAGACTTACGTGGGTAATGGCGTCTAAGAAAAAAAAAATTATCCATTTACATAATATCAGATATCACCCTATTAAACGGAGCACATTTGTCTTTACGGTCTGTTTTATACCACTAACTGCAGATATGCCAACAAATCTCTGTGGTAGAAATTGATTAACTCTAACCACTACTCAGTTTATTCGGATATTTCCATATACTAATACTTTTCGGTACAAATCCTAATTAAGGAGGCTTTACGGTGCACTCGGTAAACGCAAAGTCTTGTTGGATTTTTTTCCTTTTCAAAAAGCTTCTTTTGAATACTAAGGTACCCTTCTACTACGAAAAGGTCTCAAAACCTATGGACTTGGGAACGATAGAGGCGAACGTGAAAGCGCATCGATATGTTACTGTACAAGAATTTCGCGATGATGTTCATCAGGTCATTTTTGAAATAATTATGCTAGTTTAACATGAAGACGTTTACTTAATTTTAATACATAACCGTACATCACATACATCACATTTTGCGGATCTTACAACTTCGTGCATTCGATTCGTTTCCTCTTATCCACTAACCACGAAGGTCATCCGACGTTTTGCGTGTAGTTTCGGCTAGTGTTTGAGAACTTTTTTGTCTTCGTCACGAATGTCGTTGAGTGCTGGTAAAGTCGATTCACCCCAGAATCCTGAGTTAGTTGTACTAGGGCGTACTCGCAAGGATTAGAGAAGTGAGTTTGTGTAAGACAGGTTTAGTATCAATTTCAGGACCGCGCAGGGGTGAAAGGCTTGGTGACTCCAGTGTGGAGTCGAACCAGATCGAGGGTGGGTTATGCCGTCCGCGTAATGAGCAGGATCGTTAAAACTGCGCTACCCGCTCCTTGACTTCAAAATATGTCAAAATAATAAACTAATATTTAATAACTGAGTTTGTATTGAAAACAGCTGTGTGGATAGCTTTCCTTACTACTTTAGATATTGACAAATTCCGAATTGTACAACGGTTCTGCGGACAGATCTTCTTATACAGCAAAGGCAGCAGAAATCGTTGCACTTGCTGATAAAATGCTTGCTGACCATGCTGTGCAGGTAAACCTTGCTTTCTCCACACCTTTGTTGTCTTCTTTTTTTACGGTTAATTTGAACGTTTATTTTAGTTATCTGAACTTGAAGCGAACATCAATGGATTTGATCTAAACATTGGCGAAGTTGATCGGGAAATCGAAGACGCTATGGCAAATGATGGTGAAGATTTCCATTAAAGTTTTTTAAACATATTGTGAAGTAATATGAAGCTTCATTAGATGATAGGTAAAGTTAAACACAGACCAAAAGCGACTATATATTTGCGCTCAGATCAAAGGAGAACGTCTGTCCAGTTAAACGTCTGCATGTAAAATAAATACTCGCTCGTTTTTGGTTCATACCAATCTCTATATCCACTACTCAGGAACTGCTACGTGTCTTTATGACCGACCGTCTTGAGATCTTTTACATGAGGAACATTCGTAATGGTTTTTCTTTTGAGCAAAAAAAATCGATACAAATGAAAAAGCGCTGAAGACATTGTTTTTTGATGAGCAAACACGAGGTTGTTAACATCAAGATTTATTCAGTAAAATACTGGCCGGGGTGGTGGTGGTTTCGCCTTCTTCGGAGCGTTGAAGAGGAAATTGATAACGAGTCCACTCAAGCAAACACTATCATGACCTTTGCAGATAAACTTAGTATGTAAATGTGTTTCCGCATAGTGACTACTCTTAAACACGCAGCGTTTTGTTGTTCTTAATTTCTCCAGCTGCTATTGGAGACCAGCCATACAGAGTTTTATATGGGTGAGGAATGTATCTGATCCGGATCAAAAAATCGATCTGAACTGTGGTTCGAGATCACAGGCGACTACAAAGCTTTTCTCCTTGCGATTAATTTTTTGGATTTTTGGAGTTTGTCCAAAACGAGTTATGACTTCTACTTCAAAACTTTTTGCTATATATATGGGTTCTATGCACGCCTAGTAGAGTCTTTAGTTACCTTTACGCTTACCGTCTAAATGCTGTTTTACCTGGACTCATGCAATCACCGTATCTACCATGAGGGCATATTATGGAGTTAGCGTTGTGCATAGGCGCTTGTGCAGGTGGTTTCTAACTAGCTAACAGCTTAGAATGTCCGGTATTTCAACCACTCTTACCAAATCTGCTACACCTGCTCTTCTTAAACAACGCTTTATGGATGTGCTTATTCCGTTGGACAAATGTTTTGAATTGCTAAACCAACAATCAGAGCGCATAAATTTCACCGAAGAGGAACTAGCTTCCGTTTTTGAGCATAAAAATCAACCGGTCAAAGGACGACTACATTATCAAATGATACCCAAGGCCAAGTAGCAAAAACATAGTGGTTCAATGCATCTCCTTTCACTCATCACACACTAGAGGAGCACTTCTGAGAAACATTTCCTACAGCCGCCAGTTGTGTGCAGGAAGAGAGCAATAGGAGGAATTTCTGGACTTGGCGGAAAGAACAACCATTCCCAATGGTTACGAAACCATAGCTACTCGGGATAGGTTTGGAGGAGAAATCACTCTTGAAAACGATAGCTCTAGTGAAAATAGAGTGTCGTTCATTCTGACTTTTATTTCAAACGAAATAAGCAAAGCTATAAAACGTCGCTTTAGTAGAACCCATTGTAGATAAGTCGGTAGCAGTGAGTGAGATATCATGGAACACTTAAAGGTGCAAAGTAGTTCGTGACTGTTTCTACGACCATCTATACGGAACACACAATTGCATAATTTTCCCTAACGGAATAGATGGGAATTACATGAGTTTAGGTACGGTGTACCTAATCTCCTGTAAAGCATATGGGAACGAATACGTTGATGAAAGGGGTGTACAACTCTCCGTCAGTATAAGAGAACGCCTTAGACGGCAAGCGTAAAGGTAAACAAATATGCTGTACTGTGCGCTCAGAGGGGCCGCAGATATAACGAAGAAGATTGTGAAGTGGAAGTCATAATCTTCGCAGCGGAATCTAAAACGTCAAGACGTCAAAATCTTGAAGCGTTTTGGATGAAGTCAAAAGAAAACGAGAAATGATCGGCAAGGAGGAGTGCCATGTGATCATCTCTGAGCCCGCGTCATTTGCCAGATCTATTTTTTGAAATGAAGGTCTTTGTTACAATACAAAACAAAAACAATAATACAATACAATACAATACAATAACGATACAATACAGGTCTTTGTAACAATACAAAAACTGTAGTGGATGTTTAGTCAATCCTTAATTAATCAGTTGTCGCCTCTATCACCTTCGTTTTCATTGCAGCGCCAACAGGGAGAATTGTCGTTTCTGATGGAGTTTGCTTCGCTGTTTAAAAATCTCTTAAGGTTTTCTAATTGGCGGTTATGAGTCCCTAACTGGTATCCCGTTGGTTTGAATATCCGAATAACCTTGTCTTTACGGGAAATCGCGCAAAGCGTAAAAAAATTCCCTTTTTGTCGGTAATGTACTGGTTTGGCAAGGTCTTTCTCTTGAGTCTTGCAAACCTGTTCAAGGGTCTTTGCAACTCATCACCACTTGCAGGCCAATGAGTGTGTTCCCCTACCTAGATGGTAGTGATGGCTGGCACTGAATAACTCTTTTCTGGACTTCCTAATATTAATATTGTTATCCCTTCGTGACCCTTTAAATGTTGAATTCCTTGATGTACATCGCAGTTGAACGCTCCCAAAAACTCAGTCACGACGACGTGGTTAAGCATTTTGAGGATTTATCCTGTTTAATCTGGCAAACAATATGTCATCTTTCGTTTAGAATCTCTAATTGTTGCAAATAAACGCAAAAGTTGTGGATTATAAGCTGCTGGTGAACGTGTTGAGTGTTATCAAAATCGTTAAAGTGTGAAAATAAAATTTTGAATGAAAGTATTTTGTTAGAAATAGCTTGATTTAGGCTTATGTTTAGTAAAACTCGTGTCTATTTTATAAATTTCGTGGGAATTATGTTAGTTTTAAGTGGAAAACAAATTTCCTCTGCTTCAGAAGAAGTGTCAGATGCTGAAGAGGGTGGTGTTCTTGTCGATGATCTCGCGCTTAGCGGAAATGAAATTGAAGACGAAGAGATGGGTATGACTTTGTCTTTGGTTGTTTACTTTGTTAATTGTTTGAGTTTAAAAGGATTGCGTTGTTTGTTGGCTGTGATTTCGTGGGCATCTATAGTTATGTTTGACATATTGTTTAGTGAAAAAGCGTAGATAGGTAGTTCATCGGGAAAACGGCCAACTAATATGGCCTAAGGCCGAATTGTGGTTCTTAAAGGGCAACGATGACTAAAATCTGTATGATGTACTGAATTTTGACATGAATGAGCCTATTATCTACACGGAACTAATCGAAATTCTTTCTTCTTTAAAGTTAATACTGGCAATGTGAGCTAAAATAGGGTGAATGTGATGTACATCCTTATGCTTAACTACTTTGATCGCTTTAATTTTTATAAATTGTTCTTGATAACTGGCTATTCTTATAGCAGTAAGTTTTTGGCGTTATTTGCAGACGAATCGGCGTGGACCAATGAATTACTGCAGTCTAGTATGCATTCGTCGGGTCAACTAAACAACGATTTAGCCTTATCTGATTCGGATGACGAAGAACGAATGGAAGCAATCAAGCGGGGTGATACTGTCGACAATCTCCTCGACTCGTTCTAAGTCTGGTCAGCACACCACTTCCATACTCTTCTATACTGACAATAGTATTTCACTGCCAAAATCCCAAAAGGTGATTTTTCTGCTGCATAGAAATAGAACTTCATTCGAGACTATATGAATTGAAATTGGGGATAATTCCATGCCAACTAGCTCTCTTGTCATCATCTACAGCTCTTTCGTCAACCACCTACCTCTCTTTAGTATTTGCTCATGTCGTAACCTCGTGGCGAGGCAATGGATTCTCTTCCATTCCTTCATTTATTATGATCTTTTAATTATATTCTCTCTTAAGATTTCACTACGACTTGTTGTCATATTCATTTACCCAAATTTGAATCATTTATATATTTTGAAATAGTCGCTTGTGTCTTCAGATATATTGAATCGCTAAATTAATCGATATTTATACTTCCTACTACGCGTCCTAGGCGAGTATAATTTTGTATCCTTTAGATCTAAAACATTCCTTTATCAGATGTGTTGTTCTAATTCTAGTCCGCTGAGTGTGCATAGACAGTTTTCTTATTGGACATAAGAAAGTCGTTCTAATGTGTTTTAAGATTTTTAATTTCTTCGGAAATACCTCTGTTATTAATTTATTTGAGGGTTTAAATTTGATCGTCAAGCATTTTGCATTTCAGATTTACAACTGCAAATATTTAAAATATTGTTTTAGATTGCAAAATTTTAAGACACACCTCATATAGAATGAGGTGAAAAGAGGTATTGAACCACTGTCAACTAGTCTCATGTGTTATATGTATTATATATATGATTATATGCCTGTCTTTTTGCGTCGTTTTTTGAACATATTGCCGTCAGTATGATGCATATGTGACTCACACACTTGTACTCGTGTGTGCTCGGCTTGTCCTTTAAGTCAGTAGAATACTTTGACTTCTTGGA